ATTTAAAATTACAAAAAAAAGTAAATTTTTTTTTGCGGGGGTGGGGGTGGGGGGTGGGGGGGTAGGGGTAGCAGCTGGGTATTTGTACGCGCTGCATTTTTACCTGGGAGAAAATTTTTTGTGTCAAAGTGGAACAAAAGAAATGGGGTTGGAGGGCCAAAATGGAACAAGGCTGAGTTAAAGAGCCAAAATGAAAAATTGGACCAAGTTTAATGGTCTGTCTATATATATATATATATATATATACACACACACACACACACACACACACACACACTTAAATAATTGGATATACAATTAGGAAAATATTAATAATTTTAATATTGTTAATTATTAAAAGTGGGTATCATTAGTTACTAATTAACTAAAAAAAAAGGGCGTGCAAGCCAAGCCCATAAAGGGCTCTTGGCTGGAAAAAGGCATAAGCTAACAAAGAAATAAGAGAACAGAACCCCACGTTCTGTTGCAAGAAACACAGCAGCGCTTTACAACAAAATACTCACGGAAGATTGTAGGTTTCATTACGAATCACTAATTCTTGAACCCAGGTATATAAAATTTCTTATTGTCAATTATCCTACAGTAGTTTTAGGTAAGAATTGAGTAGTTAATTCCCTTCTTCCTCTATATCAGTAGTAAATTGCATATTTAGGTGTAGTACTTTAAAATTGATTAAAATGCACTAGTTGTTGTAGAATCGATTGTTTGACTGGTGTCAATTGGACTGGGGCCTACGTATTGGCTCGAGAAGTTTTGAGGTGAGTTGATATAGCCCTTTACTAAAGTGGTTTAACTCACAAAAGCACGCATACAAGGTGTTTGTTGAATTGCATAAAGGAGTTAATATGTACTTAATTGGAGTAGTAAGTACCTATTAGCTTAGAATTATTTTCTAGCTAAAGTTTAGATGATTATTTTGATATATGTGCATAAATTTCAGATTTTTGTGTTATTCTTATATGCCATCTTCATGTTGAAAATTCATGAAGGATCAAGAATCTTTATAAATTCTTTTGAATGTTTATTTCATTCTCATGTCAACCCTTACATTTGAGGATACGAGTATGAGTATGTATAAAAGATTTAGACTTGAAAAGTATAAGAGCTCCACTGGTGCTCCCAAGTAACAATTGTAGCTTGAATAGACAATGCAAAAGGTGAAATTTTTGTGGAGCTTAATTAAACTGTTTTGTAATAGTATTTGATGCTAGACGAGGCGGCACGTAACTAATCGAGGAGAAAGTGCTTGCATTTCATGTGATTGGGACGCCTTCCTGTTATAGAATTATTACATGTAAAAGTTGGAGTAGTACTAGGCAAGCAGTTGCATAGCACTGAAAATTGTCTAGCAATTGCAATGCTCTACTGGATATTTCGGCACTTGATTGAATTTTAAGCTAAGGATTATCAAAGACCTGTGATATTGGTTAATCACTTGTGTTTTGTGATGTGTAAAGTGTTATGATTTGAAGTTGTTTTGACTATTATACCAGTTGGATATCATTGCGTCAGAATCTTGTCTAATCTGAGAGGAAAAGCGAATAATCTTAAAATGAAGATAGCTTGGATATTCAAACATGAGCTCTAGTATTTCTTGGTGAGTATTTAAAGGAAGGGTCAAAAAGTGCTTTGCTTTTTTTAAGACGTAGTCTTCTTTGTCAGTCACNNNNCCATACTTATAAACAGGAGGCTACAAGCATTTAGGAAAAGTCTTTTTTTTTCATACTTTAGATCGTGCAGTAGAGTCTACCTCTAAGAAATTATCTAATTTATTCGTTTCTCCAAAACTCGCAGAAATGGCTCGTACTCGCAACTCTGACACCGACCCTCAGGATGCTGCTCAAGAAACTATCGCTACTATTGTGGCTCAAGGTAGAACTAAGAAGGCTTCGACTCAGAAAAGGAGGGGAAAATCCACAAAGGGAGTCCAAGTACCCCGGGTTGAACAAGAAGAAGGGGTGGAGCATGATGATCCAGTACCTCAGGATCCAGTACCGCCCCCAACAGCAGCTCCGGCTCAGGCAACTATATCTCCCGAGATGGGTCAGATGTTTAATGCTGTCAACAGTGCTATGGAGATGTTTAAAGCCTTTATGGCCAACCAGAACGAGAGGAGAGATGAGATTCCACCTAATCAAATAGACAGAACAATTCTGAGTCCTCAAGAGTGAATGAATTTTTGAAGTTGAGTCCTCCAGTGTTCCATGGTTCTATAGTTGATGAAGATCCGATGTTGTGGCTGGAGGGTGTCAAGAAAGCCCTCCGAGTGATGAAAGCATTTGATGATGAAGCTGTGGAGCTAGCTGCTTACCAGCTTAAAGATGTGGCCGGCGCTTGGTTTGAGATGTGGGAAAATGAAAGAGATGAAGATGATGGTCCGCCTACTTGGGAAGAATTTGAAGGGGCCTTCATGGCTAACTTTATCCCAGAAGAGGATAGGGAAGCTAAGGCTTCAGAGTTCGAACAACTCAAGCAAGGGAATAAAAGTGTGTTATTGCTTATGCTTCGAGGCAGTTAAAGAATCATGAAAAGAACTACCCCACACACGACTTGGAGCTTGCAGCAGTGGTGTTTGCATTAAAAATATGGCGACACTACCTTTATGGCGAGCATTCTGAAGTGTTTACAGATCACAAAAGCCTCCAGTACATTTTCAAGCAAAAAGAACTAAATTTGAGACAGAGAAGGTGGCTCGAGCTATTGAAAGATTATGACATCAATATCCTTTATCACCCGAGCAAAGCTAATGTGGTAGCAGATGCACTTAGTAGGAAGTCAATGGGTGTCTTGGCCCATCTTGCAGTACAAAGGCGATCTTTGGGTCGAGAAATTCAACAACTAGCAAATGATGGAATTAGATTGGATGAGACCGAAGAAGGAGATATAACTGCTTATGCCTTAGTGCAATCCTCCCTTGTTGCGCATGTTAAGGCTAAGCAAGACGAAGATCCGTACTTAGTGAAACTAAAAGAAGGAGTCAGAAGCAAAGAAATCACTGCTTTCACTTTAGGAAGTGACAGAGTTTTGAAGTTGAATGATCGGTTATGTGTGCCTGATGTAGATGGTCTTAGGAAGGCCATAATGGAGGAAGCTCACAGTTCGAGGTACTCTATCCACCCAGGTGCTACCAAAATGTATCTAGATTTGAAAGAATTGTATTGGTGGAAAGGCATGAAGAAACAAGTAGCAGATCATGTGGCTAAATGTTTAAATTGGCAGCAAGTCAAAGCCGAGCATCAGAGGCCTGGTGGCCTAGCTCAAGACATAGAGATACCACAGTGGAAGTGGGAGATGATTAATATGGATTTCGTAGTAGGTCTACCTTGCACATACCGTAAACATGATTCAATTTGGGTTATTGCAGACCGACTGACAAAGTCCGCGCATTTCCTACCAGTAAAAATGACAGATTTCGCAGAGCAGTATTCGCAGTTGTACATCAAAGAAATAGTCTGATTGCATGGTATTCCAGTTTCAATCATATCCGACAGAGGCCCTCAGTTCACGACGCATTTTTGGCAGGCATTTCAAAAAAGATTAGGTACCAAGATCAATTTAAGCACCGCTTTTCATCCATAGACCGATGGCCAGGCAGAAAGGACCATTCAGACTCTTGAAGATATACTGCGTGCGTGTGTTATAGATTTTGGAGGTAATTGGGATGATCACTTGCCACTTATAGAATTTGCTTACAATATCAGCTATCAGGCCAGCATTGGTATGGCTCCTTATGAAGCATTGTATGGGCGGAGATGTAGGTCTCCAGTGGGTTGGTTTGAACCAGCAGAGATGTCGTTGATTGGTCCAGAGTTTGTTTGTGAGGCCTTGGAGAAAGTTCAGCTAATTAGAGAAAGACTTAAAGCGGCTCAGAGTCGTCAAAAGTCTTATTCTGACAAGAGGCATCGTGAGTTAGAGTTCATGGTTGGTGATAAGGTGTTTTTGAAAGTTTCACCAATGAAATGAGTTATGAGGTTTGGTAAGAAAGGGAACTTAGCCCTAGATTTATCGGACCTTATGAAATTCTAGAAAAGAAAGGAAACATGGCTTATAAGCTAGCGCTACCCGTTGAGTTGTCCTCTGTTCATCCTGTCTTTCATGTATCTATGCTTAGAAAGTACATTCATGATGAGTCACATATAATACCTGCCGATACCATAGAAATTAAAGAAGGCTTGACTTATGAAGAGGTACCTATAGAAATTCTCGATAGACAAGTAAGAAAGTTGAGAACAAAAGATATAGCATCGGTAAAAGTTTTGTGGAGTAATCATGATTCAAAAGAAGCTACGTGGGAGGTCGAGGAAGATATGAGGAAGAAGTATCCTTATTTATTTGAGTAACAAGGTATGTGAACCTAGGTTTGGCTTGACATTTATGTTTCATTTATTAAATACAAGTTAGCAAGTGTTTATGTCCTTCCTAGATTATATTTAGTTGTTGTAGTGATTTAGTTTATGCCAGAGTATATTTAATTCATTAAAGTGATTTACTTTTGCTAAAGTGTTGTGCTTTAGATTCTTGTTAGTTATTGTGGTACCTCCTTGCCGGAGTGTGAGTAATTAATTTATGAGCTGTGTATGGTGCCTATGAATGGCCTGTTATGGTATATTTGGTTGTTGTTGGTGTAGTTGTGGTATTTGTGACAGGGATATTTTTTGGATAGTCCAATTTACAAGGGAAACTCTGCCGAAATTTTTGAAAATTTAGGGAGTTAGCCAAAATTTTGAGTCCCTTGGAAAAGTGAGTAGTGCTAAGAAAACTTAAGAGGTTCAAGGACCTAAGGAATGATTGTTAGCTTAAGAATAAGGCCCTAGCAACATTCGAGGACGAATGTTTTTAAGCAGGGAAGATTGTAACACTCCTCAAATTTATAAAAGTTTCGAGACACGCTAATAATAGAATTTTTTATTATTATTGCTATTACTATTTTTCTTGCCTATAGTGAATATATATATATATATATATATATATATAGAGAGAGAGAGAGAGACTTAAATAATTGGATATACAATTNAATGCACTAGTTGTTGTAGAATCGATTGTTTGACTTGTGTCAATTGGACTGGGTCCTACGTATTGGCTCGAGAAGTTTTGAGGTGAGTTGATATAACCCTTTACTAAAGTGGTTTAACTCACAAAAGCACGCATACAAGGTGTTTGTTGGATTGCATAAAGGAGTTAAAATATACTTAATTGGAGTAGTAAGTACCTATTAGCTTAGAATTATTTTCTAGCTAAAGTTTAGATGATTATTTTGATATATGTGCATAAATTTTAGATTTTTGTGTTATTCTTATATGCCATCTTCATGTTGAAAATTCATGAAGGATCCGGAATCTTTATAAATACTTTTGAATGTTTATTTCATTCTTATGTCATGCCTTACATTTAAGGATACGAGTATGAATATGTATAAAAGATTTAGACTTGAAAAGTATAAGAGCTCCACTGGTGCTCCCAAGTAACAATTGTAGCTTGAATGGACAATGCAAAAGGTGAAATTTTTGTGGAGCTTAATTAAACTGTTTTGTAATAGTATTTGATGCTAGACGAGGTGGCACGTAACTAATCGAGGAGAAAGTGCTTGCATTTCATGTGATTGGAACGCCTTCCTGTTATAGAGTTATTACATGTAAAAGTTGGAGTAGTACTAGGCAAGCAGCTGCATAGCACTGAAAAATTGTCTAGCAATTGCAATGCTCTACTGGATATTTCGGCACTTGATTGAATTTTAAGCTAAGGATTATCAAAGACCTGTGATATTGGTTAATCACTTGTGTTTTGTGATGTGTAAAGTGTTATGATTTGAAGTTGTTTTGACTATTATACCAGTTGGATATCATTGCGTCAGAATCTTGTCTAATCTGAGAGGAAAAGACGATAATCTTAAATGAAGATAGCTTGGATATTCAACATGAGCTCTAGTATTTCTTGGTGATATTTAAAGGAGGGCAAATAGCTTGCTTTTTTAGCAGTATCTTTGTCAGTCACGCTGACTAAGAGCAAAAACTTCTTAAGTTTTAGAAAGAAAAGATTTTTTTTGGGAGTATCCTTTATTATGAGAAGGGTTCATCGTCCAGGCCTAGGGTCCTGACCAAGGCGTTGACTTCCTAAAACTACTTGTGCCAAAGTAGGGAGCACACGAGCCGAGGGTCTCGTTGCTGAGAATTTACTTAGCCATGCTAAGGTATGATACATGAGCGCTGAGAACCATGAAGCGAGTGGCACCTCGTGGATTGGGCCTATTCGATCAGGTTGGGATCGAACCCGTGCCGATCACACGGTGACTGAGACAGAATTAAGTCAGGATAGTTGGAACTCCCAAAGTATAAAGTGAAGTATTTTTTTTATAAGAAAGATAAAGAAAAGAATTTCTTTTAGAATATTCATAAACTGCTATTATGCAATTATTCAGAATTATTCTTATAAGCTTTATGTTTTACATGCATTTAGAACCTTTGCTCATAATGTATATGTTATTAAAGTTTCGCCCCTGTTGTTGAGACTCACTGAGTACAATGGATGGTACTGACGTTCTCTTTTGGGAACCTACGTTGGTCTGCGGTACAATGTAGGAACCGGATTTGCAGGCGAGCAGGCTACGAGTTAGGACTTCCTTCTCTTCCAGTGCTATTGGTGAGCTCCGCTTTTGTTCGTGGAGTATTCCTTAGAGTCATCTTTATTTAGTTATTTCTTTGTTTACTTAGAGAACTGTCCAGGAAATCTCATGTCCTGAGCAGTGCGTTAGTTTATCAGTAGAGGCTTCATAGACATAGTCATTGGGTTAAGATTCAGATGTTTTTGATAATAACTTAGTATTATTTCATTGGTTACTATGAATAAAGTTTTGGAGTTGATTTATTTAAATATATAAATTAATCAAAAGTATTTGGGTAGAGTATTGTCTTGTTGCATATAAAGCTTGGAGTTATAATAGATTTGATAAGCAGAAATGGTTCGCTCGGTCATGTTTAGTGATCGAGTGCCAGTCCCAGCTTGTTCAGGAAATGGGTCGTGACAAACTTGGTATCAGAGCCTCAGGTTTATAGAGTCCTAGGGGTCTATGAAGCCGTGTTAGTAAGTCTTGTTTATGTGTATGAAGCGCGCCATACTTATAAACAGGAAGCTACAAACATTTAGGAAAAAGTCTCTTTTTTTTTCATACTTTAGATCGTGCAGTAGAGTCTATCTCTAAGAAATTATCTAATTTATTCGTTTCTCCAAAACTCGCAGAAATGGCTCGTACTCGCAACTCTGACACCTACACTCAGGATGCTGCTCAAGAAACTATCGCTACTATTGTGGCTCAAGGTAGAATTAAGAAGGCTTCGACTCAGAAAAGGAGGGGAAAATCCACAAAGGGATTCCAAGTACCCCGGGTTGAACAAGAAGAAGGGGTGGAGCATGATGATCCAGTACCTCAGGATCCAGTACCGCCCCCAACAGCAGCTCCGGCTCAGGCAACTATATCTCCCGAGATGGGTCAGATGTTTAATGCTGTCAACAGTGCTATGGAGATGTTTAAAGCCTTTATGGCCAACCAGAACGAGAGGAGAGATGAGATTCCACCTCAATCAAATAGACAGAACAATTCTGAGTCCTCAAGAGTGAATGAATTTTTGAAGTTGAGTCCTCCAGTGTTCCATGGTTCTATAGTTGATGAAGATCCGATGTTGTGGCTGGAGGGTGTCAAGAAAGCCCTCCGAGTGATGAAAGCATTTGATGATGAAGCTGTGGAGCTAGCTGCTTACCAGCTTAGCGATGTGGCCGGCGCTTGGTTTGAGATGTAGGAAAATGAAAGAGAAGAAGATGATGGTCCNTTACTTAGCCATGCTAAGGTATGATACATGAGCGCTGAGAACCATGAAGCGAGTGGCACCTCGTGGATTGGGCCTATTCGATCAGGTTGGGATCGAACCCGTGCCGATCACACGGTGACTGAGACAGAATTAAGTCAGGATAGTTGGAACTCCCAAAGTATAAAGTGAAGTATTTTTTTTATAAGAAAGATAAAGAAAAGAATTTCTTTTAGAATATTCATAAACTGCTATTATGCAATTATTTAGAATTATTCTTATAAGCTTTATGTTTTACATGCATTTAGAACCTTTGCTCATAATGTATATGTTATTAAAGTTTCGCCCCTGTTGTTGAGACTCACTGAGTACAATGGATGGTACTGACGTTCTCTTTTGGGAACCTACGTTGGTCTGCGGTACAATGTAGGAACCGGATTTGCAGGCGAGCAGGCTACGAGTTAGGACTTCCTTCTCTTCCAGTGCTATTGGTGAGCTCCGCTTTTGTTCGTGGAGTATTCCTTAGAGTCATCTTTATTTAGTTATTTCTTTGTTTACTTAGAGAACTGTCCAGGAAATCTCATGTCCTGAGCAGTGCGTCAGTTTATCAGTAGACGGTTCGATCGGTCAAAAGTAGACGGTTCGCTCGGTCAAAAGTAG